ATGTCAGAGCTCTGCTCTGCCTAGGCCACCACTCTGCACTTAGGTGAAGACAACGGGAGTCAGATAGGCCTCCGACCTACTGACCAGCCTGGTTGGGGGGATAAAGACCTCAAAAAGGCTGAGAGATCTGTTCTAGAAGGAAGTAAGCCATTCAGATAGGGCTGAGAAGGCTGCATGGAGGAGGTGGTGTTTGAGCAGGATCTCTAGGGATGGAATGCAATTTCAAGGGATCTAGAAGGAAGGTATGGGGGAGGAAAGAACATTCTGGCAGGAAGAAACCAGTTAGGCAAGGTTGGAGGACACGGTACAGGGGAGAGGGAAGAAGGAAGTAGGAGTTCACACAGCAACAGTATCACACCATAGCCAGGTTGTGGTGAACCTTGAAAGCCTAAGAACTTGGAAGTGTGACAATTCACAAGGCTGAAGGGAAAGAAGGCCCAGGACATAGGCAGGAAAACTAGGCTGCAGAAACAGCCAGAGATCAACAGGGCCAGATATGACATGGCTGAGGCTGTGGGAATGAAAGGGAGACCAGGCTGGGGAGGGCCAGAGGGGTTCATGCATGTGGCCAGAGACACTCTGGGTTGGCTGTCTCCTTCCTTAGAGCCTCACCACCTCCTAGGATGGCAATCCATGTACTAGGGTGAGCAGCAAGGTAACAACAATTCCAGGCCCACTGTGCGACTCTGAGCTGTGTCCTGTTCCTGCCACACACCTGTTCCCAACAGGACTTGGCCTCAGTAGGCCTTGGATTTCTCATCTGTGTTCTGTAGGTGATGGTGAGGATCTAACAACCCAGCAGGACACTGCCTTTCCTGAATGAACATCTGAAGTGAGCCACACTCTGTCCTGAAAGTCCTGGCACACTGTCAAATGAAGGACAGAGTCCGGTCACTGGGGCAACCCACTGGGCTAGGTCAGAACAGTCCCCTCTTCCAAATATACTGGGCTCTGGCTACCGTGGGCTCAGGCTGGTGACCAGGGCTGGAGGTACAACAGCTCCAGGTCCTGCCAGCTGGGGGAGGGGGTAGGAAACACAAAGACATGGAGAGTGACCTCATGGGGCAACCAAGACTTCAACTCGGGGAAGCCAGCAACTGTGGGCATGAGGGTAGGGAGGAGGGGCTGGGCATGGTGCCTGCAATGACAACAGTTGGTTCTGCCAGCCCTGGGCTAAACAATGGCTCCCAAGGATATCCACAGCCGAATCCCCAGAACCTGTGAATGTTTCTTTCTATGCACTGGGGCCTTGCAGATGTGATTACAGCTCCTGAAATGGGAAGATTATCCTAGTTTATCTGGACGGGCCCTAAATGTAATCCCAAGTGTCCTTCCAAGAGGGAGGTAGGGCTGAGATTGTAGCTCAGAGGTAGCTTAGCATGAGTGAGGCCCTGGATTCAATCCCAGAACCACCAAAAAAAAAAAAAAAAAAAAAAAAAGTTGCAGAGGGAGATTTGAGTGCAGGAGAGAAAGCAAGGAGATAACGGAGTAGAGATGGGGACGACTGGGTCACAGGAATGCCAGCAGCCACCAGAGCTGGAAGAAACAAGAAACTGATTCTCCCCTGAGCCTCCTGAGGGAACCAGTCTCGATTTTAGCCCCCAAGACTCATGACAGACTTCTGACCTCTAAAAGTGGAAGAGATACACCCATGCTGCTTTAAGCCACTGACTTTCTGGTGCTTTGTTACAGCCGTGTAACAAAGGAAGGAAGGAAGGCCTCTTGAGGAACAGTGGCTGGTTGGGTGATGGAGCCCAGCTGCCCTTGCCAGTTCAGGGCAGCCAGGGAGCCAGGAGGAAGTAACTACACCTTGAACTGCTCCAAGAGAAAACAAAGTCACCCAGCAGCTGAGGGTCATGGTTACTCTTATTAAAACAAACCACTTATAGCCTTGGTGCCGGTGGCTCACACTTCTAATCCTAGCTACTCAGGAAGCAGAGATCAGGAGGATCACAGTTTGAAGTCAATCCAGGTACATAGTTTGTGAGACCCTATTTGAAAAAACCCATCACAAAAATAAGGGGTGGGGGGGTGGCTGGTGGAGTGGCTTGAGGTGTAGGCCCTGAGTTCAAACCACAATACTGCAAAACAAAACAAAAACAAACCACTTGGGTACCACATCACCTTGACTAGCAGAAGTTACCGAGTAGAGTGGGGGGTACTGGATAGGGGCTATGTGGGCAGGGGCAGGCAGATTAGGCCTGCTCTTAGCCTTTGTCCACCATCCCTGGGCACATCTGACAGAGATGGGCAGTTGTGTATCCTAGAATGGGCTTTCCTCTACTCTGACCACAGACACTTTTCCCACAGCTGACCATATGCCCCACAGAGGCAGAAAACCACCAGCCACATCCACAGGCTACCCTAGCCTCAGCCACTGGCACCCATCACATCCAGCCTTGGGAAAGCTGGATCTCTAGAAACACTAACTGAACAATGAGAACAGGGAGTGGTAACTCAGCTCTCTCAGGCCAGCAAAAACACACATTCCAAAATCTGTCCAAGCTGAGCACTGGCTTCATGAGACATCTGGATTAGAACCCCAAAGGGACCTGGCCCATTTTGCCTTTAGTGAGCTGGGAAAGGCAAGGCCTGGGGCCAGAGGGAAGACAGCAGCTCTGCCTGAACTAAAGTGAGACACTCCCAGGATGGCGACAGCGACCAGAGAGGAGGCTGCAGAGAGGCCTTGAAGGCTAAGCCTGGGACCTTCAACAGCCAAGGAATGTTGTGAACAGGGAGGACAAGGGATGAAGGGTCAGAAGACAAGACGCAGCTGGAGGGCTCAAGGGGATTGCTTGGAGGACGCTGAGAAGACTGGAGCAGAGCTGAAGACTGACCGCCAATGCCTGTACAGGCTGCAGAGTTGCATGGGGGGATGGGGGCAGCTACAGACCCTGCCCTTGGCAGCTGGGAAAGCCCAGGGCTTCAGTTTCTCCTAGGGGGCCTTCACGTGATATATGGGGGTGGAGGGGATAATCTCAGTTGTTCCACTCTTGCCTCTCCCTGGGGATAGGAGCTTTTAGGGAGGCTAGAGAGAGCACCCTTTGCTCTCTCTGGGGGCTCTCCAGGTGCCCTGGGGGGATTAGCAGTTCCCTTCACCCATTAAAGCCAAGAGGGGCTCCCACTTCAGTGGGAGAGATTCCATGGCCTTCCTTGATTGGTCCAAAGCCATCCCCTCCCCACTTGGCTCTCCTTAGGGAAGGGACCACACGTGGTGCTGCTGACGGTCCATTCCTATTAATAATGACTACCAAACACCAGGTACTTAGTAAAGTGCCCTTAGTGACCAGATGGATGTCCCTTCATCATCATCATCCCTAAATGCCCATGATTGAGTGGTGTCTATTTCCCCATTCCACACAGGGAAACTGAGACTGAAGGTGAAGTGGCTACCTCAAGGTCACAGGCAGCAGGGATAACAAGCCAATTTCAGGGAGGAAGACAGGCCCAGGAGGTAGGAGAGGTGGTGGAGAGTAGCCTCCTGTTTGAGGACCAGGGATGCTGTGCTATCCTGAGAGCCTGGCCTTGGGGCACCAGCCCAAATGCAGCCCCCTTCCAATCCCACAGGCCTCACCTGTCAACTTCCCCCAGCTCCACCTCCAGTGGTGGAACCCATCTCAGATGTACCCCAGCCACCCCTCCCAGCATTGGAGTCCTGTGCAGCTCTGTGGCACCTCCCATCACTGTTCTGGGAGCCCCTATTGGGTCCCCTCCTCCCCTGCCAACTTAGCCCCAGGTGGGATACAGAAGGAGCAGAGGGGAGGGGAGGGGCTCTCCCTGGTGTGATGTCTCCACAGCAGTCCCACTGGAGCAGCCAAAGATGGCCCCAGTCAGACACACATGGACCTACGTAACTCCGATCCCACAGATTAGGATTCAGCTTCACACCTCAGAGCTTTGCCCAGTCCATTTCCAGACCTGCACCCTCCTGCCCTTTTCTTGGGTTAGGTAAACTTCTTCCAGCCCAGCTGTGGTGAATTTCCAAATGAACTGATGCCCAGCTCCTAGAAGGATGAGCCACCTAGGGCTTCCTCCCCTCTGCACAGTGGTCAATCTGAGGCTCCACCTGCCTCAGTCAGAAGACAAACTCCTCAGGCTGACTGCCCAGGCACCTCTCCTGCACCTCTGGCCAGGGCAGAGCTGGGCCCACCCCAGGACTCAGGCAAGGACCAGCCCAGGACGTTGGGACCAGCCCTGAGTCCTTGTAGGGCGTGGTAGTCTTCCTAAACACTTGGTTGCCCTCAACACTGGTCTCTCCCACTGCTGGCTGCAGGCAGCCCTGAGTGGGTAGGTCGCTTCACCCCTCTATGCCCCACTCTTCTCATTTGTATGGGGTCTGGCGCTGGAGCCCAGCCACATAAAATGCAGCCAGGGAGCAACTTGGCACCTATTTATGATCTGTGCTACTTCACCCTCTGGTCCTCTAAGCAGGTCCGCCAGCCCTGATGGGGAGGAGTTGGGAACCTGGACAGGAGCAGAGAAGAGCCATTCTCTGCCAGACCCCACCCCACCCCACCCCCAGCATCACAAACCCAGTCCAGCGGCCAAGGCCAAGGAGGGAGGACCCATATAACCTGGGGATGAGGACCAGGAAGGAAGGAGCAGACTTGGACAGCAAGGGCCTTGTCCCTTGCCCGCTTCCCGAAGCCGGGGCGTTAAGGAGAGGAAGATAACCCAGAAGAGGTTAAGGGGTTAAATGGGCGGAAGGAGATGGAGGGGGGAACAGGCAAAGAGACTGGTAAGGAAGAGAAGAAACAGTCAATCCCAGGTGATAAGCGCGCCCCAGCGTGTCTGCACTGGGAAACCGAGTCCGGAACCCCCAAGGGGAGGTAAAGAAAGGCCCCCTCGCCGCGGGCTGCGGGTGGAGGTGGGGATGAGCCCCAGGGGTCGGGGCGAACCTTCAAGGCCCCCGTGCCCCGGCCTCCAGGCCAGCTCTAGCCTCCCTTTCCCGGGCTCGCGGGACGTGCAACCCCCTCCTCGAATTCGCGCTCCCGCTGCACCTGCACACACGTCCTGAAGTGCACACCGCACGCGCGCTCGCACACGCCTCCCTTCGCGCAGCGCCTCCTACCAGCCGCGTCGCCGCGACTCCGGCCGGGCTCCCGGGGTGCACGGCGCGGGCACCGGAGCAGAGGCTGAGCCCGCGGCGCAGCGGCCTCCGGCTCCGGCCGGAGATGCAGCCGCGCTGCCCTGGGGCGGGGGCTGGAGCTCGGCCTCCCCGGGTTCTGCCCGCCCGCCCTGCCGGGCCCGGCCCCGCCCCGGCCCCGCCCCGCCCAGCAGCCTCCGCCCATCCGAGGCAGAGGCGTGGCCTCCAGTGGGGTGGGCGGGCCGGAGTGCGCGCAGGCGAACTGGCGCGGCGCCGTGGGGCTGTCGCACCCCGCATCGGCCGCCCGGCGGTCGCTGGCAAGTGCAGGGCGGCTCTGGGCCCCGCGCGACACTGCGCGCTCTCCTCCCGCCCTGGCTCTGGCTGCCGTAGGGCGCATCCCTGGAGGCCCTCCAGGGTCGCCCCCGGGTGGGCAGCTGCCGTTAGGGCTGGTTGTACGGCACAGGATAGGGCCCGGGCCCACTGCAAGCCCCGCCGAGGGCTTGGAGAAGAAACCTACATCTTGTACCACGAATCCGCAAGGGCCAAGGCAGGTGACTGCGAAAAGAAGGACCCAAGTTTTTGGATGGAAGATGGGGAATCCAAGCCCTGGTGAGATGCAGAGAGAGCCTGTCACACGAGGAAAGCTGTCCCCGCTGCCTGCCCCGAGCACTTACCTACGCCAGAAGGATTGAATCTTGGGCTCACTCAGGGTCCCAGAATGCCCGGAACGCATCAAACCTCGGTTTCTTAATCTGTAAAATGGGGGTGTTAACACACACCCACGCTGGCGTATGATGGAGATTTATGGCTGACCAAGTCTGGCACACAGTAGGGGTTGGGGCGGACCTGCGTCCTGTCCAGCGCTGAGACACCAGCGCGACGCTCATCTGACCTGGTTATCCAGGCTCCCATCAGCCCACCTCACAGGGGAGAAACTCAGGCCCACTCATCCCCCAGGTTCCCAGTCTCGGTTATTGATTTCCTCACCCTGAGTCAACCAGCCTTCTCCCTCTCTCTCCTCTACCGTTCGGTCCCTGACTACCTTCAGAAGTCACTTTCATAGTCAAGGAAGACTTTAAAATATGCAGCTGTGACCAAGACAATGTTCCAATTGCACCCAGTCCCACTCTCCCATTTCCCCTAACCAACCCCATTCCACAACTGGGCTGGGATGGGGTGGGGTGGGGGAACAGCCTGTCCCCTCTCCTGAGCATTCATCTCCATCCCTCTCCACACAGCCATGTCCTAGGCCCATCTCTAAGGCTGCCTTCTCCACAAAGCCCCCGAAGGGGAGAGACCGAGGCCCAGGCTCAGGGAGATGGAAGCCCTAGGTGGAGCCAAGCACATCTGGGTCCAGTCCTCACTTGGCCAGTTACAGGCTGTGTGATCCCACCAAGTCCTCTATCCTCAAACAATCTCATTTCCTTTGTCTGTAAAATAACCTTCTAGCAGAAGTGTGCGATGAGCAGGTAGTGAATTTAGTAGAGGCCCTCATCAAGTGGGGTAGTGGACGGCTTGCCTCTGGTTAAGCAATCCCAGTATGTTCTCCCTAGGTGGCCCTGGGGTCATATCACATCTGAGAAAGTGTGTCTACCCCAACCTACAAAACCATGGGATTCAGAAGGTGCTGAGGCCTTATTGTGTATCTCAGAGTCTTGGTGTCACAAGAAAGGTGTTGAGGGGTGGGTGCATGCATGGTCTCTACTTGGACTCATTAGCTGTGTGACCTTGGATGTGACCCAGCCCTGCTGTAGAACCAGCACAGTAGCATCCAGACCTTGCAGTTGTGGGGGTTGATTGATTGATCCATGTGGGGTCCTTATAGTGGCCCCTGAGTGTCCTTGCCTTCTAGCTCAAGCCCCTCATTTTGAGAAGATTCTGGGTCCCCAACCCCAGAGACATATATTTGGCCAGTTAGAGTCCCCAGCAACCTAGAATATTAAGACTGGAAGGACCCACCTCAGAGCCCATCTCTGGCAGCTTCCACCTTCTCTGACCAATGAGAAAAGAAGGCTAGAGAGACAGTGACCTGTCCAGGACACCCATCCTGGAGTAGGGGCCTGGGGAGCATTGACCATCTCCTTGGGGAGAAGACACAACAAACCTGCCCGACAATTGTGGGCAGGGGTGGAGCCCTAATGATGCTTTGGCCCGGACCTGCTGGTCAGTTTTTATGAGCTTAGCCATCCCATGTCTCCATTAAATGGTGTGACGTGCAGGCACTTTCCCATTTAATAGTCACAACATCCTTGTGCAACACTCTTTATTGGCCCCATTTTGTAGAAGACAGAACTGAGCCTCAGGGCTATGCCACGGTCACAGTTAGTCAAGGGCAGAACCAGGGTGCAGACCTACTCTAACTGCACCCACTGTTGTGCCTCTCCCTCCTCCTTCCCTGGCAACCTGTGTACCTCCCTGATTGGATGGGCTTGCAACTGGTTCTTCATTTCCTCCTGGGATGGCCCTGTCATCTCTACTTGTGAGAGTCTTCTAACACCCAGAGCGATCTAACTCTTTCTTTCTGGCTCTACAGGACTTTCCATCCCTCACCCTACTGTTACCTGGAGACAGGATCTTCTCTGCACCAGGTAGAAAACACTCATAACACTTTCTTTCCTTTCTTCCTAGCTTTCTTTGTTTTTGTTTTGTTTTTTTAGAGGTTCTTGCTGTTGTCCCAAGCTGGCCTTGAACATCTGGGCTCAGTTGATCCTCCCGTCTCAGCCTCTGAGTGCTGGAATTACAGGTGCACCCATATATACATACATACATATATATACATATATATATTTTTTTGTTACATATATACATACGTATGTATATATATTTACATATATGTACATATATGAATCCCAACAACCAAATTGCCAAATTCCCTACAGGAAGCCCCTTGGCATGAGAAGTAGCTCAAAGTGGAGGCTCCCAAGGCTTGTGGGGGAATTTTAGGTGGGAATATTAACTTACCATCTTAAGCCAGCTCAGGCGAGGGGTACACACTGCAGGGGGAAGGGTTCAGTCAGAAACACAGAACTTCCAGCTGGGCCCCAGCATGGTTGTACATGCCTATAACCCCCAACCCCAGAACTTGACAGGCAGAGGCAGGAGATTCCAAGTACAAGGTCACCCTTGGGCTACATAGTGAGACCCTGTCTCAAAAGAAAAAGAGAGAGAGAGAGAGAGAGAAAAGAAGAAAGAGGAAGAGGAGGAGGAAAATAGAGGGGGGGAGAGACAGGAAGAGAGAGAAGGAAGGGAGAGAGAGAGAGAGAGAGAGAGCGAGAGAGAGAGAGAAGAGAGAAGAGAGAAAGAAAAAGAAAGAGAGAAAGAAAGAAGATAAAGAAACCACTTCCAGTTGGGAGTGGTTGCTAATGGTGCTTCCCCTAGTGGCCAGGACATGGAAAGGTCACGTTGGACTCCTAGGCAAAGCAGACGTCATGCAAAAGGGAGTAGAAGACAAAATGACCTTTGAGCTGTTCTTAGTTCCATCGGTTTCTGAGTCATTGTTTATATTTTGTTACTCCCTGCATTTTAAAAATCACTCAGGGCCGGTGATGGAGGTCAATGGTAGAGCATTTCCTTAGCTTGCATGAGGCCCTGGGTTTGAAAAAGAAAAATAAAAAAGCAAAGGTCAAAAGACTGTCTCCAGAACCCTCCACTTTACATGAGGAAGCGAAGAATATAAGAAAACAGACAAGGCTGTGTGCTGGTGGCTCATGCCTGGAATCCTAGCTCCTTGAGAGGCAGAGATCAGGAGGCTCTCAGTTCAAAGCCAGTCCAGGCAAATAGTTTGCGAGACACTATCTCGAAAATACCCAACATAAGAAAGGACTGGAGGTGTAGCTCAAGTGGTAGAGCACCTACCTAGCAAGTGTGAACCCCTGAGTTCAAAGCCCAGTGCTGCTACACACACACACACACACACACACACACACACACACAGGCAGACATGCAGATAATGCTCATCTGTGCAGAGGAAATATAAGGATAGACCAGAGAATACAGATATAGGCTCCCTGTAGGGCAGGTGGAAAGGGTGGGAAGAATGGAGAATGGAGTGGGATGGCAGGGAAGAGGAGGGGGACACCTCTCTGACCATATCTTTTTCTACTTTTATTACTGAGATATAATTTATGTCATAGAATTCATACTTTAGAGGCTGGGGTGTTGAGCACACCCTTAAGCAAGCACAAAGCCCTGGGTTCAATTCCAGCATCAATTTATTAAGAATAATCTTTTAAAAATAAAATTAGTACTTTTAATATACTCTGAAAATTGTGCAGCCATTACCACGTCTAATTTCAGAACATTTTCATCACCTCTAAAGAAACCCAATATCCTAAAGACTGGAGGTCTGACTGAAGTGGTAGAACGCTTGCCTAGCAAGCACAAGGTCCTGAGTTCAAACCCTAGTGCTGCCCCCAAATCCCCCCCAAAACCAATACCCATTAGCAGTCATTCTCCATTCCTCCTCCCCACGGTCCTTAGCAACAACTAATCACCCACTTCCTGTGTCTATGGATTTGCCCATTCTGAACATTTTATATTATGAAATCACATGATAGGTGGCCTTTTGTGTCACCTTCTTTCCCTTAGCATGACGCTCTCAAGGCTCATCAGGCTGTTAGCATGAATCAGTGTTTCATTCCTTTTTACGGCTGGATAATACCCATTGTGTGGATAGTCCAGATTTCGTTTATCCATTCTTCTTTTGAAGGATATTTGAGATTTTCCACTTTCAAGCTACTGTGAATAATGCTGCTATTAACATTGTACAAGTCTTCGTGTGGACGCTGATTTCAATTCTCATGGGTATTTCTCGGAGGAGAGTTGTCCAGTCCTACAGTAGTACTTCCATGCTTTACTTTCTCTCCCTCCCTCCCTCCCTCCCTCCCTCCCTCCCTCCTTCCTTTCTTCCATGCTAAGCACACACTCTGATGCTGAGCCATCAGAGAAACTAGGGAACCCCTACTCCCCCAAGTTTTGCTTCTTGAGGATTTGCCACAGTTTTCTAAGGCTCAGGGAGAGCCTATCAAGATCCTCCCTTCTGAGCCCTGTGAGTTACTAATGTAGATCCTGAGTCCCTGGGGGGTGGGGCACAGTAATCCTGCCCAAGGCCCCAGAAAGCGGAGGGAGTTGGAGCCTGCTCTCCATCAAGAAGGAAAGTTGGTTCCCTGGGTCCCCAGTTAGGCAAGCAAGGGTAGTCAGGGGTCCTCCCTGGACCATCTGAGACCCAGGGGAAGTGCACCTGCCTATACCCAGGTAGGGGTCCACAGTCCCTTGAAGGATCCTGGCTGGACCTTAAGACATTTAGGTCTGGAGGGCAGCCAGGAAGAGGTGGATCTGGTGTCACTTGGGGCCTGGGGACAGAAGTTCTGTTGCCAAAGGAACCCTGAGGGTCCTGAGGTGTGGGAGGAAGCACCTGCTTCACAGCCCGCCCTTCGAACACCCATTTGAGCTGCAATTGGGTGGGGACTGCCTGCAGGACTCTCAGCACCCAAGTGACTGTCCCCATTCCTGAGAGTTCATGAGAGGTGTGGGTGCAAGTGACATCCTTGTCCCCCAAGCTCTTGGGACCCCTCCCTCTCTAGCATGGTTGCTCAGATGTCATCCAAGCTCCAGCCCACAGAACTTGTCCCTAGACCTCTCCAGCCTAAGGCACATACGTAAGGGCCAGGCCCAGCCAGACTTTCTCTCTGGCCTCACCCCACCTTTCAGGAATCAACCTTGCCTCTCCCTGTCCTTACCTCCTCCTTCTTCACCCTGCTCCCAGTGCACCAAAGCCCCAGGCCCTTTCAGTCCTGGTTCTCCCTGGGATCGGTGTCCTCCTGGCTCCATGGTCCCCCCTCCGCACTGTCCCCACTCCCCCCTCTCCTGCCCCTCATCCTTCTACCCCAGCAGCCTACGACCTTTGTGAATTTTAATTGAATGTGCACAGATCTACATTCAGTCCCTCACTCTTGCTTAAAACTGTTGGGAGCAGGATGAAAGATCACTTTAAGAACTGATGTCATTTCTGTGTTCTGGGATTAATCTTCTGGAAAGACTGCTCCTTATTGAGAAAAATGCGTTAATGGAGCTGTTTGTCACTGAGGGGAGGAGCAGTCTTCAGCATGATAGAATTAGTCTGTAAATGACAGTCCCAGGGTGGAGGACCCATCTCTGCAGAAACTGTTAGAATGGTGATTTAACACTAAGAGACTGGCAGTTTTCCCGGTGCTGTAGAGCAAAGGGAGGACCAACTCAGCTGCAGGACTGACTCTATAAAGATAATGGACAGTCAAATTGCTGTCTGCCTCCTTCTCTCTAAAGCCTGGAGGCCTGACCTCTGGACTTTGCAGCTCTAGCCTCTGAGGTGAGAGGCAGCTGGGGCAGTGATCAGAGCCCAGGAAGGGCAGGCAGGAGGTCCGAGCACTTAGTCTTCCATGTCCAATAGACAACTTGTGTGGCCTTGGGAAGGTCATTCCTATCTGAGAAAGATCACATCTGCCAATGTGGGTTATAATAGTCATTTTTTGGTGGTGGCCAGAATCTAAGGATATCAGAGACTTAATTGTAACTTAACTGTGACATGGTGTCTCGTTACATTAATTGATGTATTATAATATTTAAAATACTTTCAGAAACTTATTTTCATGCATATCTTTTTTTAGATTCAGTTTTGTTTTTTTTTTAAATAGTACTGGGGTTTGAACTCAGGGCTTTGAGCTTGCAAAGCAGGTGCTCTATGGCTGGAGCCAAACCTCCAGTCCATTTTGCTGTGGTTATTTAAGAGATGGTAGGTAGGGGGAGTTCCTCAAGAACTATTTGCCTGGGCTGGCCTCCCACCACAAACCTCCAGATCTCAACCTGTAAAGTAGCTAGGATTACAGGTGTGAGCCACTGGTGCCCGACCACTATGTTGAATTTTTGAAAATATGTGTGTGGGGGAGCTGTGTCCTATGAGAATTTCATCTCAGGATGGGGGAGGTGGTTTCTTATAGAAAGGGGAATTGGAGCTGATAAACTTACAAACTTCTGGGACTTTTGAAAAATGTCTTTATTTCCAATCATTGTCTTTTTGTGTCCTGTTTCCTGTGCTCTGGAGTCTTGGACAATGTTGAACAGAAGGGGTAATGATGAGCACGCACATCTCATCTTGTCTTACTATGATTTTCTTTAAAAGTACAAACGGATGTTGATTTGTTTTTTCTTTGTTGTGGTTCTGGAAATGGAAGCCAGCATGCTGGGTAAGCGGTGAGCTACAGCCCTGAACTCTGAATTTTATCAATGTTTTTCCCTGTATCTGAGATGCCCGTACTTCTCTTGAGTTATATCCTCCAGCCGGTACTGGGGCTTGAACTCGGGGCCTGCACCTTAGTCACCCAGCCCTATTTTTTTGTGTGAAGGGTTCATTCTCTCTCTCTCTCTCTCTCCGGCCCCCCCCACCCCAGAATTATAGGTGTTCAATACCACGCCTGACTACGCCTTGCATTTTATGTAGGATTTTTGCATCTGTCCTCGTGAGTGAGACATGAATGGGTATCAAAGTCCTCCTTGGCCTCGTTAAGGGAGTGTCTCCTGGAATCCGCAGGGAGCAGGGCCGGCGGATGACATCGGACGCAGGGCCTGATCCATCTCCGCGGCGGCCATTCTAACGAGGGCGCCTGGAGATCGGAGGCTCGTCTCCTCCCTCGGACTCCTCGCCTCCTGAAATCGCCCACCTGGCGCCGCAGTCCAGCTCGCCGGACTCGCGTGAGCAGGGAGAGACCACGGCTGACTCAGAACTGGGAACGTCACGGACTCACCGTGTGCCGGGCGCGCCCCCTGGTGGCCGTGAGCCGGACACCGGCTGGGCGGTGGCTCCAGGCACACCTGATGGGCAGCGGCCCGAGCAGCGTTCTCTGCGCCTGGACAAAGGTGGAGTGACCAGGACCCAGAGTCACACAGCAGATACATTAACTGCAGCTTTCCGACCCTTCCAAGCCGTGAAATACCAGCAAAATGGTGGTCGTGCCCTGCCTGTCAAAGCACAGAATTCAGACTTTCCCGAGGGCACCTCCGCATCCTGGCCCCAGCACTCTCGTTTTCTTGACACTTTTAAGCGCCCCACAAATAGCACTCGGAGCAGGGAATTCAGAATGTGCATCGGGGGTTTATGGAAAGAAAGCACAGCTGATTATTCACTTTTTGTTATTTCATTATCATTCAAGGCACAAAGAGATGACACATTGCTGGTTTTAAATATGGAGAGGAGGCCTCTAGAAACTGGAGAAGGCTAAGAAATGGATTTTCCTAGAACATCCGGGAAGGACTGAGGGCCCCTGATAACAGGGCAGAACTGTAGGATAATGTGTGAGTGTAGACTTTAGTCACCGAGTTTGTGGGAATTTGTTACAGCAGCAAGAGGAAACAAAGTCAGTGTCCTCGCAGAGACAATCCAGTCCACTGGGACAGGTGCGCCTATAGCGGTAGGAAGTACTTGCGATGGCTCACTCAGAAGCAAGGCCAGACAAGGGGCTGTGGTTACTGGGGGAGGGGGAAATCCATGGTCAGGGCTGCAGAAAAGTCACGTGACGCTGCCTCCTCCTCCTGCTCTGCTCAGTTGCTACTTTGCAGAGTGGGTATTGACTTCCCAAGAGTCCTGGGACATGGTAGGGACAAGGCTGCCAGGTGCTGCTCAGTTCCAAATGTGGACTGACTTCTGGGAGGGCCCAGCCACCTGATGACTGGGCTCCAGTCATTTGTAGAGGAAATAATGGAAATGACAGTTCCTATTTGTACTGCACTGTCGCGCCCATCCCTCTGCTGCTCCATTGCCCACACTGAGTGGAGTACGGGAGTTAGGTGCCCTGGAAAGCTTGCAGAGGTGCCATAGTGCTGGCCTTGCAAGGATGAGTAACACCCCTAACGCAGTGTCCTCAAGCCAGCCTGCACATTAGACCAACCCGAAGAACTAAAGACAAAAAGCGAACACCTATAGACCAACAAGGCCAGGACCTCTGAAGTTGGGGCCGGGAAAATATACCAGGACACAGTATTTTCCAGATCCCTCCCCCTTGGTGACTTCCAAGTGCGCCAGGTGGGGTTCGGATCCGAGCAGGAAAGATGCATTCTCACCCAGCGGCCCTCAGGAGACCCGGTGTCCCTGGCTACAGCTCAGCGCCGGGTCGTGCAGCGCCTTCCACATGAGCAGCATCTGGTAGGGCGCGAAGCGGTGCACGAGCAGCAGCTTGCGGTACACGCAGGGGTCGAAGGAGGGCCGCTGGGCGCCGGGCAGTTGCACCCCGAAGGGCCGGATGCCCTCGTGGCCGCTGGGCCTCAGGCCGGCGCGCTGCAGACACATGCCCAGGTAGGCATCGTCGATGGGGAAGAGCGGCGTGTGGCGCGCGGCGACACGCAGGGCCTGGGCCGTGTGGCGGGACAGCAGGAAGCCGCCGCCGCTGCAGTACACGGGGTAGGCCTCCCCGGGGAAGAGCTGCGACGGCACGAAGTACTTGCTCCAGCTGTCGCGGATGGGCACCGAGCCGTCCATGAGCTGCCCGACGAAGAGGTGGCGCTCGGGCGACAGCGCCTCCAGGAAGCCCAGCACGTTGGCGGTGTGCACGAAGATGTCGTCGTCGCAGCTGAGCAGGAAGCGGGCGCGCGGGCAGCGCACCGCCAGCCAGTCGAGCAGGTGCAGGTGCTTGAGCGTGAGGTTGAGGAAGGTGTCGGCGAAGGCCCACTGCAGCACGTCGCCGTGCTCGCGCGCCTCCAGCGCCACCAGCTCGGCCAGCTGCGGCGCCATCGCCGCCTCCTCGGCGGCCGGGGTCCCCAGCAGGAAGAGGCGGCGCACCGGCCGCCCGCCGTAGCTGCGCTCCTGGCCCCACGTGCGCCGGATGAGCTCGCGCCGCTCGTAGTGCGCCGGCGACGACTTCACCGCCAAGAGCAGGAAGGCATCGCGGCGGTCCGAGCACTTGGCGGGCGCGTCCCAGAGCAGCGGGAAGTGGCGGCAGTGGCGGTACCGCAGGAAGTCTTGGATCCGCGCCGGCAGCTGCTGGAAGTCCGCGGTGCTGTCCGCCGAGGCGTTGGCCACGCACCGCGGTCCCCGATGCGGCGCCGGGGACGGGGTCTGCGAGGCGGCGGCGGTGGGGCCGTCCCGCTTCTCCTCCTGCGGCGGCCGCGGGGCGCCGAGAAGCCACAGGTGCAGAGCTAGGAAACTCACGCCCACCAGGAAGAAGAGCAGAGTCTTGGGGTTAAGGGACCTGCGGCGAGGAAAAGCCATCTGTGGGGGAAACCAAGGCAGAGATGTGCCAGGAATCCTTGACATCAACCGAATGCCACTCTTTCCCCAGAACCCAACCACAGCCCTTTCTGACTCTGCTAAGAAGTAAAAAGAAACCAAACTTCAAGAAAACATCTAAGGGGCCGGGAGAAGTGGCTCATGTCTGTAATCTGAACTACTGGACGGGAAGATTGTGATTGAAGCTAGCAGTGGGAAAAGTTAGCCAGACCCTATCTGAAGAATAACCAACGCAAAAAGGTTTGGGAGCGTGGCCCAAGTGCTAGAGTGGCTGCTTTGCTAGTGTGAAGCTCTAGTTCAAACCCTAGTACAGCAAAATAAAATAAATAAAATAATAAAATAAATTCATAAAAGGAAGGAAAACACAGATGTCAGGGCTCCCACATTTGGGAATGTTCTTCTCAGTGCCATATGATATCCTCCTAAAAGTCAGCCAAGCCAGACTCATTGTATCTATCGAAAGTCAAAGTTTCCACTTTGCTGAGTGTGCACATCTGCCGTTCCCACCTCAGAATCAGGGTTCACCCAGTTTCTCTTCCTAGAAGCCTAACCAGCCCTCCCCATTTCCTCAGCTTATATCCACTCCCCACATTCTGTTCTGCATTCCGCACCTCTCTCACCATTCTTCCCTCCTCTGCATTCCTGTCCAGCCTGAATTCTTTTTCTTTTCTTTTCTTTTTTGTGGGACTGGGGTTTTGAACTCAGAGCTTTGCACTTGCAAAGCAGTGCAAAGCAGTAGAGCACTACTGCTTGAGCCACAGCTCCAGTCCATTTTGCTCTGGTTGTTTTTGGAGATAAAGTCTCATGAACTAATTGCCTGGGATGGCCTCAAACCACGATCCTCCAGATCTCAGCCTCCCAAGTAGCTAGGATTGCAGTGAGCCACTAGTGCCCAGCCAGCCTGAATTCATTCTAATCCATTCCCTTCCATAAGACCATTTAGGAGAGGATGAGGTCACAAGGCTAAAAGAGACCAGAATTCTGGGTTCACCTGTTGGAACCACACCATCTGAACTGACTTGTTATTTCTCTCTCTCTCCCCCCTCCCCACCCCATATGTAGGAAAGGGTTAGTAGATGGCCACTCTGCAGGGCTGCTGGGCATTAAATGAATGTGGTCTGGCCACTGACTTTCTGGCATCCTCCAACTCCACCTGCTTCTATTCCTGCCTGGGGTGTTAAGCTGTTCCCCAAACCTTCAAGGTCAGGACCCCTCCTGTAGGTAGCCTGCCCAGGTGCACCCATGTGTGGCCTTCAGGACAAATCCCACATCACAACCACCTTTCCCCAACTTAATTGTGCCCCATTAAACTCAAGTCGCATGGGGTTCTGTCACATGTGGGGCACTTCCACTCACCCTGTTTTGCAGGCTCACACCCTCCTGGCTTTTCTCCTCCCTCTGTGCCCACCATGTCTCTCCGTTCCTTTTGCTCTGCTCTTTGGTAATGAGAGGTCTCCAGAACTCTTAAACACTCTGCCTTCTTTCAGCACCATCTCCTGTTCTCAGAGTCACAGGTCCAGCCAGCCACCTGCTCCCTAGCAGCTCCAAGTCACCTGCCAGGCAACCTGAACTCTTTTTTTCTCTCCCAGAGCTGCCCCAGGGTGCCACCACCCAAAATCATTCACTGACACTCTCTTTTCCTTCATTTCTATACTCACGCTGGGTCACTGCAGGGTATCTCTGCAGGTTCCACACTCACACTCCCGCCACAACAGGCTAATAATCCAAGCAGACGGAGTAGCCTCCTGCCTGCGCTCTCCTTCCTTTTATCCCTCCAGCCCAACCCTCCCCTGCAGCAACTGGGGTAAACTTTGAACAGTGCAGGTATGCAGGATAAACCGTTCCTCCTGCTCATTTCCTCCAGCCTCCCTGGGAGTCACATAGCCTGGGCATTAGCCATGTCACAGCCAAACCTCTTCCTGCCCTGGCGCTTTGTTCACAACCTGGATATTGACTCCCACCTTGCCCCTGCCTACTGAACATCTGCTCAGCCTCTGATGCACAGGAAAAGGCATATATCTGGGGAAGCTTTAGTGGAGTTCAAAGGAGACCGGGTGCCCTGCTAGTCATGCCCTGGCCACCTTCTCTCCCAGCCTATAAGCATCTCCAGGGCAAGGCCACATCTGTGTCATTTACCATTGTATGTCCCCAGTGCCCTGCATAGGCTGGGAGAGAGGACAACACAGGGGGGTAAGTGCAGGTTGCCTTGGTTCAAATTCCACCTCCATCATAGCCGACTGGTTGAGCAAGTTGACTTAGGATCTCTCATATTTGCTTCTTTAAAGTTTTTTGTTTTTGTTTCTTCTTCTTCTTTTTTTTTTTTTGTCTCTGTATGTAGCACAGGCTGGCCTTGAACTTGAGATCCTCTTGCCTCAGCCTCCTGAGTGGGGGGAGGTTACAGGTGTGTACCACTACACCCAGCTTCCTCTTAAGAGTTTTTGTGAAGGCCAGGCACACTGGTTCATGCCTGTAATCCCAGCTATGTGGGGAATGCAGATGAGAGTATTGCAGTTTGAAGCTACCCCAGAAAAGAAAATAAAAAATTCTTGAGACTCTATCTCAACAAAACAAACCAGGCCTAGCAAACTGGAAGCCCTGAGTTCAACCTCAGTACCAGGAAAAAAAGTTTTGGGGAATACTACTTTATGTAAAGAATGTAGTGTAGTACTTGACACATAGTAAGTGTTCAGTAAATCTTAGCTACTGTGATTATCAAGGTGCCAACAAACAACTGTTAAAGGACTACTCTTCCCAGAGTATGTGCTGAATAAATATTTTTGGGCAGAGTCGTTTGCACACCATCGGCATTGCTGGATTGAACTGCGCTCTGGTGCTCGTGTGTTATGGGCCATACGCAGTGTCCAGCTCAGAGTGGGCACAGAGCAAGTGTTCAGTGCAGGATGGCAGCAGTGCAAGACCTGTGCACGCATGTCACGTGACCCTGACCACCGTCAGAAAGGCTCACTGTAGGTGTCCATTGCTTGTCACAGGACAGCAAGATGAGCTGAGTCTGCTGCCGGCGTAGGTACTCAGGGCATAGTCCCGTGCCAGGCATATTTGAAGTTGGTAATCAATATTTTTTCAGTGAATGAAAGAATAAAATTATGGGGCTGGCAGAGCACCTGCCTAGCAAGCATGGAGCATGAAGTTCAAATCTCAATACTACCAAAAAAAAAATATATATATATATAAATACAAACGAAAATAGAATTTGGAGTCCAAACAAGTGGGCTTGAATCCCAGCTCCTTTCATGAGCTGGTTAACCCAGGTTTCAGTCTCCTCTTGTGAAAAAAATGAGGTTAATAGTCAGCATTTGATGAAATAAGAAAATAATTGTGGAGGTGTGGCTCAAATGGTAGAGCACCTGCTTTGCATGTGGATAGTCCTGAGTTCAACCTAAGTCCCACCAACAAATGAATAAATAAATAAATAGATAAATAAATAGAGCCCCCAAACTGTTTTTGTTAAAAAGGAAAATAATTGTGTGACTACTAAAGTGCCTTACAAATGTTTTTAAAATTTAAAAAATAAAAAAAAAGTACTCCTAGCCGGGCATGGTGGCACACACCTGTACTCCTAGCTACTGGACAGGCTGAGGAAGGAGGATTGCAAGTTCCAGGTCAGCCTGGGCAACTTAGAGACCACGTGTCTAAACAGATAAATAAATACATACATACATACATAAAAGGACTAGTGATGCAGCTCAGTGGTAGAGTGTTTGCCCAACATGCATGAGACCCTAGGTTTAATCCCAAGTACCACACACGCACGTGCACACACACATACACAAGAAAAAAAAAAGAGAAAGAACAAGCATTCTTCTCCACTTCCCTCTACCCGGAATCATTTTTAGAAAGAAAAGTTTACCTTAGCCTTACTGCAGTGGGAAATCCTGTTTCAAAGAAACTTGCCTATTCTTTGATGAGCCTGCTCCAGGAACCTGGCTCACAGCCAGCTGTCCACAGAAAAAAGGCAATGGAGTGGGGCCAGGCCTGCTTCTGAGGGTAGTGCTGCTTTGCTCCCTCTGCTTGGATGCCCCACTGTGTAACCTGAGGGCTCTGCTCACCCTGAAACGTTGCGTGTCTCCTCTGCGGTCCTTTTTGCTGGACCCCTTTTTCTTAAAGCACTCTTCAGGTGCCCTGGGGCCCTGCACCGTAAGGTTTGCCAGTCTCTGCTAGCCCTGTTCCCTTGTCTCTCAGCTCAGCTCTAGTACCTCCTCCTTCAGGTCAGTTCCTGGTAAGTCCAGGTTAACAGATCCTGTCGCTTTTCTGATGCAAAATTGGTGAAAGAGGACATATCTGGTACTTGTTTGACCCTTTTGAACCTTATCTCAGTGTCTCAAGATTCCGAGTTAATTAGTATGAGGCACTTAGAACTCTGCCTGGCAGGTAGTAAGTACTACAGTGACATTAGCAGTTGGCTAACCCTTGACCATTTGCCCTTTTCAGAATACTCAGGGGTAACTCCATGATAAGAGTGTATGCTTAGCCTCCACAAGGCCCTAAATTCAGTCCCTGCCACACACACACTCCTCATACATGTGAATGTGAACATTTCACATGGAACTTAGTGAACAAAGATTTGTGAAGTCCATCCTATGTTAACAGAACAGCTCCCAAACCTGGAGCGGCTCTCAATCCAGCAGGAAACTGATGTCTACAGTGCAGCATTAAAATGTTTCTGCACAGTTGTGTCTGGATTACTTGGAGAGCAGGGCAATTGATGGGTGGAGGAGCCAAGTGGATCAGCTTTTTCTGGGGTGTGGTCTAGTGCTCCCTGCAGTCCTCTCACTACAGGTCTTCTGCAGTCTGTTTATTGCTCTACGCCTTGTTTACTCTGCCCCAAATCCCTCTCTTCTCCAAAAACCACTCTGGCTATTCTCTCCTCTAGTTTAAGACAGATGGCTGGAACAGAGATTCCTGGGCACCCACCAGCCCCCTAGCCCCCCATAGAGTTCTGGAGAAGTGTTTGTACAGCAGATACC